GGAAGGAAGGAAGGAAGGAAGGAAGGAAGGAAGGAAGGAAGGAAGGAAGGAAGGAAGGAAGGAAGGAAGGAAGAGGCTGACTCTATAAACTGAGAGGGCTGGGAAGCACCGTGAAGCGGTATATAAGTCTATTGCTATTGCGAGCTGCAGTGATTCACGGAACAACCGTGGCAAGAAAGGTTGCAAAATGGGACAAATCTCCCTTAACAACTGTCTTGCTTAACAACGGAAAGGTGCGTCTCAGGAGAGCCCCCTGTACTTAGAGTTAGCATTTTCTGTAGAATCGAGGGAGGATTAAAGCGAGAGTCCAGCTTCCTGTATTTCCAGCCTCCTCCTAACTTAAATTCAAGTCAAAGAACTGTCTTCGGACCGTCTTCCATTACGCGGGACAGATGATCTTCTCAAACCTTCATTTTTCACCTTGATTACATTCGATGTCACGACCATTTTTCTTAGCCGGTAACATTTCTCAGCGCTCAGCACAGCTGATCCGTCATGCAGCCTGGATAGTCTGGTGTTAGGATCGTTTTGATTTACTCAGTAAATGCCCTTAAATCTTCCTCTCGTTTGCAGCTCCTGGGTTTGCATAATTCCACACTCTGTTTTCCTCCGCTTTTCCCCCCAGAGAGCTTGATTTTTTAACTTCCTTCTTTCATTTCTACAAGATCAGATTCAGTAGAAGGAAATATTCGATGCTCAGGTTGAACGGTGGGCACCTCGGTGCTCTCTGAGCTCGGTGACGTTTGCAGACATTTCATGACCCAGCTAGGGAACGTTATCAGTGTTAGAAGGGAGAGGGGTTTACTCTCTCTTTATAAACAGGGGGCTTGCCCTGTCAGTTTCTGCAGTTCTGATGACTCTCTGGAATAATTTGTGGGAATGGGGGTCCTTTGACTGGGCTATTCTTTACATCTGACACGCCCTAAAGCCGTTGCGTAGCACTGAATCGTCTCACCTGTCTAATGCAGCCTCCAAATAGTCTCAATCCAGGGGAGTCAAACTGGATTCCTTCGAGGACCAGGTCAGCATATTAGTTCTACTCCATGGGGGTGGGACAGGAGGGATGCCTCCTGCAGCAACTTGCCGGCCAAAATGGGACGTCCCCCACCTCCCCGTGCCTCAAAACAGGGCATGGAGGGCCACACAAGCTCCCCCGTGCCCCGTTTTGGCCAGCAGAGGCACTGCGGGCCTAGAACTGTGCTTGGAAATAGAGATTGATTGGAAATAGAGAACATCCATCGATCCTCCCTAGTTAGCGATCTTGGGAGGTTCCTCATATTCAGTGCAGCTGAGAAAGAGGAGAATATTTGATGCTCAGGTTTGAACTGTGGGGTCCTTGGTGCTCTCTGAGCTTGGTGGTTTCCTTGCAGACGTTTTCATGACCCAGCTAGGGAATAATATCATCCGTGCTAGAACAGAAAGGGGTTTGGGAGGTGGAGGAAGAGGGAAGAGGAAAAGGAGGAAGAGGAGAAGGGGAAAACTGTGGGCCTTGGGTGCTCTCTCAGTGTTATAGTTTTCCTGCAGACTTTTCATGACCCAGCTAGGTAACCCCATCAGTCCTAGAAAGGTGCGGGGTTTGCTCTGTTGATATTACCTAGTTGGGTCATGAAACGTCTGCAAGTAAACAACCAGGCTCCAAGAGAACCAAGGAAGCCACAATTGAGAAAACTAGGCCTATTGAAAACAGACATGTGTGACGCCAGATTTATTGACCTCTGTTTTTTTTTTTTAAGGGCTAAAAAAAATGACTTTCCCCCCTGCCCCCCCCCCAAAAAAAAGAGGAAATGGGGTATACCTTACGTTCATTCTAAAGCTAATACCATAAAACCTTGCAGGGTTTCTTTTCCTCCTGTTTGACAAAAGCAAGATGTGTATGTATCACGAGCTTCGTTTCCTTCCCCTTCCCTCCGTCTTGTTTCATTTTCAAAATCCTGCCTTGAGAACCGTTTGCGTTTAGGTTTCCTACAGGGATGAGGGCAGTAGACGATGTCAGGTGGAAGTCATCTTTATCCTGGACCTGTTGCTGCCCTAAAGAGCCTTATTCTCCTTCTGTCCTCGGGCTGTTTCACCGCTCATTGTCCTGGGTAACAGCCCTGGCAGGATGGAGATGAGAAGCTCTTAATATGCTTTTCGTAGGGAGGACCATGGCCAGAGTCTTTTGTCTTCCCCTCTCCTTTCCTTTTTCCTTTTTTTTTTTTCAAGAGGGGGAAGGAGGGAGGGGGAAGGCTAAAATATGAGGTTATAATGCATTACAGGGAGTCCTTGACTTAACGACCAGAAATTGAGCCCAACATTTCTGTTGCTAAGCGAGACAGATTTAAGTGAATTTTGCCCCTTTCTATGACCTCTCTTTCCACAATTGTTAAGTGAATCACTGCAGTTGTTAAGTGAGTAACACAGTTGTTGGGTGAATCTGGCTTACCCATTGACTTTGCTTGTCAGAAGGTCGCAAAAGGGGATCATGTGACCCCCAGATCACTGTGACTGTCATAAATATGAGCCGGTTGCGTCTGATTTTTTGTCACATGACCAGGGGAATGCTGTAATGGCCGTAACTCTGAAAAATGGTCATGAAGCCACATTTGTCTGTGCCGTTGTCACCAAATGAGCTGTTTCTGCACCTTGGGTGCAGTCCCAAAACCACTGGCGCACCACTGGCATTGACCACTCCCCATCACTCAATTGCAAAAGGCGGCTGTCCTCCGAACAGCTTAAATCCTGCAACGAGACCTGTAAAGCCACCCAACATCCACCTCTGCCTGTCTTCGGGCTCGAGAAGTGGACAGAAATGCCAAATCCAGCCTGAACATCTGGCTGACTGTGTGAAGAACACAATGAAAATAAATAAAAACCGCACCCTTAATAATCTAACAGTTTAATCTTAAAAGTCCACTGGCATGCAGGCCTTCTCGGGTAATAGACGCTTCCAGGCACCCAGCTTGAGAAATAACTCTTCTCAACTGTAACTTAAGATGTGACCCTGATTCTTTGTCCTAGACAGCCTGATGAGAATACCAACAGACCAAACCCAAAATCTTAATTAAAAAAAAAAAAGAGTAAGGAAGAATGAGGAATAATAGGGACAAGATCCAATGTACGATAGAGTCACCCATGAAGATTAGTAGGATGGGAGGAGTCTGGTAGAAAAGGGTGGCCATCGGGATCAACATACACAAGAAGGAGTAGAGGCCTTTGAATAGGTTCTGTCATAAGTGAGGTCAATTCCAGTGGATTTGAAAACCAGATCAGTAATGCTTGGGGGGGTAAAATAATCTGGATTGGTGCATTGACGTCCCAAGTGTGTAGTGATGATAAGTGACCTCTTAAGATATTATAGACTCATTTGTAAAGCTTTTATTTTGCTTCGGTTTTCCTGGATGATTATTAAGATCCAGAAAAGAGAAGGTGAAGATCCCTGGACTCGTTTTAGCAGGCAGAGATCTCCTGGTCTGCAGGTGCCTTGTTGATGCCATCCCAGAAGATTTCTGGGCAAGGTCTGTTTAAGAATGAAAGCAAATATAGGTGTCCCGGGATAATTTAGTTGCGAGATCCAACCTGGGTCGATCACCAAGACCAGAGATATACAGAATTTCTGGTCCTGGTGTCTGGCCCAGATTGGATCTTGCAAGATCTGTTTAATTTGTACATATTTTAATCTTGTATTTTATATTTTAAATTTTATGTCATAAATATCCTTATAATAAGTATATTATTATACCTACATGATAAGTATCTTTATTTTCATTGTGATGCTTCTGATATAAAGGAATGATCCTTTGAGAGAATTGTAGGTATAATAGGCCAATGCCAAATATATGTAGGTAGTCCTTGATTTACGAGCGCAATTGAGCCCAAAAATTCCATTGGCAAGCAGGTTGTTTAGTGACTTTTCGCACATGTAATGACCTTCCTTGCCACAGTTGTTAAGTTAGTAACAACTAATTTGTTGCTAACTCAACAACTGTGGCAAGGAAGGTCGTAACATGGGGAGAAACCCGCTTAACAACCAATGGGAGTTTTGGGTTCAATTGTGGCTGTTAAGTGAATTTGACTTCCACACTGACTTTGCTTCAAAGGCCGAAAAAGGTCATCCCATGGCCTCAGAACACTTGCAACCGTCATAAGTCCATGCCAGTTGCCAAGCCAGTTGGATTTTGATCATGTGACCGCAATGGTAGCAAGTGTGAAAACTCATCTTTTTTCAGGGCTACTGAAACCTCAAACGGTCACCCCCAAAATAATTGTAAGTCAAGAACCGCCTGTAGTTCATATCTGTTTTATTCCCGTTCAATTTCTTAATATATGTTTTTTGGGTTTTTTTAAACAGACTGGAAGGAAGGAGAAAGGAGACCCACTGAACATCGCCATTGACAAGATGACCAAGAAAACGAGAGACCTGCGAAGACAGGTACCGGCTGGACGTGGGACCATTGGGCACTTCTAAAGGGCACCATCCGTGGTGGGGGGAGGGGGGGATATGTGGAGATTTCAGCTTCTAAAAGATTCAAATCAGCCCGCCTTGTCTTTCTAAGTAGTCCTCAGGTTATGGCCCTAACTGAGACTGCCCATTTCCGTCATACATTGCAACAGCGTTTTCCCAATCATTAAGCAAATGCAGGGGTCATACATGTGAATGCTGCGGTTGTTAAGCAAATCGTTTTGTTACACCACGGTTTTCCAAAAACTGGAAGTAAATGCAGTTTTTTTTTTTAGAATAGAATAGAGTAGAATTCTTTTATTGGCCAAGTGTGATTGGACACACAAGGAATTTGTCTTGGTGCAAATGCTCTCAGTGTACATAAAAGAAAAGGTACATTTGTCAAGAATCATCAGGTGCCACACAATGATAGTCATAAGGTACAAATAGGGAATCAAATCATACTAGGAAACAATCAATATAAATCGTAAGGATACAAGCGACAAAGTTACAGTCATATAGTCACAAGTGGGAGGGGATGGGTGATAAGGAGTGATGAGAAGATTAACAGTAATCATAATGCAGACTTAGTAAATAGTTGGAGAGTGTTGAGGGAATTATTTGTTTAGCAGAGTGATGGCATTCAGGAAAAAACTGTTCTTGTGTCTAGTTGTCCTGGTGTGCAGGGCCCTATAGCATCGTCTTGAGGGAAGGAGTTAAAACACTTTATGTCCAGGATGTGAGGGGTCTGTAGATCTTTTCACAACCCTCTTTTTGACTCATTTTTTTTGATACTTTTTAAACTCTTTTTGATAGTTTTTGGCAAAACTATCATAAAACGCAGTCACATGATTATGAGGTGCTGCAAATGGCCATAAATGCTGCTGTGTAACTGTGGTCACATAACAATTAGCCCCAACCTCCTCTAAATATTCCATTCCAAATATTCCATACATCCACCTCTGAGCTTGGTTGTTTATATGCAGACATTTCATGACCCAACTAGGTAACGTCATCAGTGCTAGAAGGGAGTGGGGTTTACTCTATTTCATATACTGCTGGCTTGCCCTGATACTGTAGGTGGGAGTGTCCTTGTTAGTTCTTTGATTAAGGTGTGTTTTACTATTCGTTTGTCTGAGCTGGTACTTGGAGTATCGTTTACTTCTTGATTGTTGGTCTAATGTTAATCCTCGGTGTTAATCCCTGCTAATCTCTCACCAACATTGACAGACAAGCCACTTGTATATCAGTAAAACCAAACTCCATTCTCTTTGACACTGGAAACCTTACCTATGTGGGTGATGAAACGTCTCCAAGAAAACCACTAAGCTGAGAATGGTTCAAACTTGAGCTACAAATAATCTCCTCTGTTTATACCATACTTTATCTTTTGTGTTTTAGCAAACCTGTAGTTTTATTTCTTCCCAGCCGATTCATGTCAGTAAGAACGGGAGATTATTTCTAATCAACCAACGCAGCAGAAAAGTCTCTGTGTTAAAACAACCGAGTGTGGTACACCATACCTTTGTATCACATGCCCTTCAGTGTCTCATCAATAAATATAAATTAATATTTGTATTTATTCCTTTCTTTCCCCTGACTTATTTTCTCCTCAGTCAGGGAAAATCAGTATTCATAGTGACCAAAACAAAGAAGGCCCATTTAAAAAGCAGCCCAAAAATAAAGCAGAATAATAGAACTGAATTGATTGGCCTGTTGGCTTGAAGTCTATAGGAATCAATCATTTGGAAATACTAAATTAAAAATAAAAATAAAAATTGAAACCTGATCACTTGCCAGTCTAGTTAATTGTACCTTTTGGTCCACGGGGCATTCAGAATTTGATGGACATTTTTTAGGCAGTTCAGTCCTCTGCGGGTTTTAGAATGATTTCTCCGTGCTTGTAGAATAAATGTTTTTAATCGGGCTCAGGAGTCCTGAGTGGTTCACTTGAGGGGGCCTCTTATTATGTTTATTGCTAAATAGTTAAAAGTGGTTTGTCATTGAAACGTATCAATCATGGCAGGCTTTCAAATTAATCTTTCTGCCAAGTTTGTTTTTGTAAGGAGGTTCATATCTAGGCTGTAGTGACGCCTCCATTACTTACCAAAAATATCAGTATAGAGAAGTCACTATTGCAGGCTTGTTCCTGTGTGCCTTTTTATGTCGTTCTTACAGAGGTAAATCATAAAACCACAGAGTATTTATTTATTTATTTGTATCCTGCCTTTATTATTTTTACAAATAACTCAGGGTAGGGAACATATCCAAAAACACTTTCCTCTTCCTATTTGTTCCACCACAACTCTGGGAGGTGAGTTGAGCTGAGCGAGAGGGACTGGCCCAAAGTCACCCAGCTGCCTCTCATGCCTATGGCAGACTAGAACTCACAGATAAGACAAGATAAGATAAGGTAAGATAAGGTAAGGTAAGGTAAGGTGAGATAAGATAAGATAAGATAAGATAAGATAAGATAAGATAAGATAAGATAAGAAGAACTTTATTGTCATTGTACAAGTGCAACGAAACTGTGGATGCACCCCAGCAACTGTTCGCAATTCAATAAAATCAGAGCGCTTAAAAATGAAGATAAGAAAGATAAAGTACCCACGTCTCCATTTGCAATTTGAGAGTACAATATCTACGAATATACACAAAATATACATCCACACTGACTGTGACGTTTTGCCGAGTATAATGCACAAGAGATGGGTTGTACTGTAATGTGTTATTATACATCTGAATGGGGTATTGAGATTTCACATCTTTCCACAACTTAATAAGGTAGTGACTTTGTGTTTATTTGCGGTTCGGATGGCCCAGGGAAAGAAATGATTTGTTAGTCTTGTGGTGTGGGATTTTATTGACCTAAAGCACCGTCCAGACGGCAGCAGGTCAAAAAGATCATTGCCAGGGTGTGAGGGGTCTTCTATGATGGCCTTGATTCTGCTTTGGCAGCGGGACCTGGCTAAGTCTTCCAGGGAGGCCAGAGGGCAACTAATGATCTTTTGAGCTGTGTTTATCACCCTGTGTACAGTTTTCCTGTCCTCAACCGTGGAGCCTGCATACCACACACCCAGACAGTATGTCAGAGTGCTCTCCACAGAGGCTTTAAAGAAAGCCAGCAACAGCTTCTTATCCAGGTTGTTCTTCCTGAGAACCCGCAGGAAGTGCAGCCGCTGCTGAGCCTTCTTCACTGTGGCCTTGGGGTTAGGGGACCAGGAGATATCAGCTGAAATATGGATGCCAAGGAATCTGATCGTAGGGACAGTTTCCACTCGTTCTCCGTTGATGATGAGTGGGGTGTGGTCCTGTCCATGTTTCCTGAAGTCCATAATCAGTTCTTTGGTTTTGTGGACATTCAGTGACAGATTGTTCTGTGAACACCATACAGACAGGTTCTCTACTTCTGCCCTATATGCCGTCTCATCCTCTCCGGAGATGAGACCAATCACGGTCGTGTTGTCTGCAAACTTTATGATGGTGTTTGTTGCGTGGCTTGGTGAGCAGTCAAAGGTGTACAGGGCATATAGCAGGGGGCTCAAGACACAACCCTGGGGGGAACCAGTACTGAGTGTAATAGTGGAAGAAAGGTGGGGGCCAAGTCTAACAGACTGTGGTCTGTTTGTCAAAAAGTTCTTAATCCAGGAGCATGTGAGGGTGGGGACCTGCAGATTATACAGTTTGGTTACTAGTATATCTGGGATGATAGTGTTAAACGCAGAGCTGTAGTCCACAAAGAGCATCCTCACATAGCTCTGTTTGTTCTCCAGATGACTCAGCGCTCTAGGAAGTGTGATGGCCACAGCATCCTCTGTAGATCGGTTTGCTCTATAAGCAAACTGATGTTGATCAAAGGAGGGCGGGAGGCAGTCTCTGATGTGCTGTGAAACTAGTCGCTCAAAAACCTTCATAATGGAGCTTGTTAATGCTATGGGCCTATAGTCATTGAGAGTGTTTATATTTGGTTTTTTGGGGAACGGGGATGATGGTTGTGGCCTTCAGGCTCCTGGTGATTGGCCCAAAGACACCTGGATGGTCTACGTGCCTAAGCAGGATTAGAACTCACAGGCTTCTTGTGAGTGGCCAAAAGTCACCTAGCCAACTTTTGTGCCTGGGTGGGACTAGAACTCACAGGCTCCTGGTGATTGGCCCAAAGTCACTCAGCTAGGTTTCATGACTAAGGCAGGATTAGAACTCACCGTTTCCCACTTTCTAGACTGGTGCCTCATGTCCTGACCAAGGCTTCCGAGGCCGTAATTACGCACATGTTTATTTTAAAAGCAAGTCTTGTTTTATTGCAACGCTGGGAATTGTTTTCATTCCCAGCCAGTAATGAATCTCAAACAGTCCCTCGAGATCAGCACCCACCTTTCTTCCCTGTGAAGAGCTGCCAATAACAGGAGTGTGAAATGAACTCAATCTTCAGCTCTTCTTCCCCGTAGATTTAGTATAAGGGGACCTTTCTTTGTGATGGTGCTGTGTCACGGATGAATCTCTCTAAGATCTTCCTCCTCAGAGGAGAAACGGGGTTCTTCCCAATGAAGGTCGTAGGAGCTTCTTGAAGATCATGAACGCTGAGCTGGAAGAGTCCCCTAGGCCATCGAATAAAGGAGGATATTGGTGGCTCAGGGTTGACACGAGGGGTCCTTGGTGCTCTCTGAGCTGGGTGGTTTTCTTGCAGACGTTTCATTGCCCTAACAAGGTAACATCATCAGTGATGGAAGGGAGGGGGACTTTGGAGAGGAGGAGGAGGAGGAGGATTGTGAGATCATTACCAAAACTAGGTCACCTCATCAGCGTCCGTGATCATAACCAGCACTGAGGACGTTACCTAGTTGAAACGTCTGCAAGAAAACCACCAAGCTCAGAGAGCCCCAAGGACCCCCTCTCCCCCACCCAAAGACCGTCTCCTTGTTCCACACGGGGACCCAAATTAAAACGATTGCTGAGGGGTGGCAGCCCAAATGGCCTGAATGCCCCCCGTGAAG